ATAGAAATATGTTACAGTCTAAACAACTGGTCAGATACAAACATGATTATTCCATGACCAGTCATTATAGAAATACAATTTGACTTGCTGGGTCAAAGGGGAAACTCAAGTGACACTTTTTTTTACAAAATTATTCATTACAGTGAATTGCAACATGTATTAAAATGATTAGGCTTATACTGTTTGAGACCAAAACTTGAATTCCGTATGGACAGCAGTCATGAAGTATGAAATCCTGTAACATATAGGGTCATAGTTTAAATGTGGTGTTTTCTGTGAATTTTAAAGTAAAATGTTACATTAGAACAAATAGAAACAAGCATGTTCCTAACAATTTGAAAAAGTTTCTGCGTCCTGTGGTTGCAAAGATACAGAAACCCTATATTCTCACCCGAATTTGAATATTTAAGCTAATTTGCATTTGAACGGGACATGACGGAGGTACGATTTTCAGAATTTTATCTCCTCGTTTTATTACCTTGGTTTACGGTGAATAGAAACATGCATCCGACCAATTTGACACCAAAATGAATTCTCAAAGACAGTAGATGTGGAGACAAGGAAATTTCCTGCAAATCATAGGGTCATAGGTCACTGGCTGATATTTTGGGGATAAATGGTAGCAAATGTTGCATTAACGCTAATAGAAACATGCATATTCTGAACTATTTGAAACACAGTTTCTGTGACCACTGGTTACGAAGTTAGCGAACTCATTTGCATATTTTAGCTAACTTGCATATAAACGGGATTTTAACAATTTTATCTCTTCGTCACATACCTTCATTTAAAAAAGAAAAAAAACATTGTTTGCACACTATTAACTTGAAATGTCAAATTATATGTACATTTCAATATATTTGGCGGCCATTTTGAAAAACGACCGTAATTTGCATATAAGGCTTCGACGCAAATGTCATCCAGACTACGGGTGACCAGAAGATATATAATAAAGACATCTGGCATGGATGACTGCTTCTAAAATTCCACTAATCATAAAGTGATTTCTAGGCCTCTTTCCAGATTTTTTTTCTAGACTATATTGTGTAATGGTAAAAAATACTCAAAAATGTAAAATGTTGACTTCAGAACACAAACATTTATTCCAACGAAAATTTCGATTACTCCACAGTCTTAAAGGAGAGTTACCTTTTTTTTCCCGAGAAGACTTTATCAACTCTCACATGTAAGTCGTTGCCAACAGCTTTTTAGTCTGAAATGATATTAAAATTAATATTATGCTTATATTGAAGGGTATTTTGAAATCAAGTGCGACTCACATTCAACATGTCGGCGTATAAGATCAGCTATTGAAGGACCTGTATGTCAGATAAATAAACAAGGAAGCACATGTAGCCCCGGTGGCGGTATAGTTAGATTTCCATTGAATAAGGAAAGGACCGTGTCCTTAAGTGCCTCTTCGCCTACCCTCTCAAAAGGTAAATCAAAATATGTTCTTTTTTCTCATTATTATACGCCCACCCATCTCACCATTAACGTATCCGTTTATATTCTGTTTACGTATCTGTTTTGTAAGCCTACGAGTTTAAATTCAAGCACATCATGAAGCCTTAAGTTTTAAGAAATGTTTTGTAAATATAATATTTTACATATTTGTCTTTTGTCCTTGTCTGTTATGTTTTGTCTCTTCTTTCTTTTCCTTTTCTGTTTCATTTCTTTTGTAGTCTGGTTGGGCTATGTCCTTTCCCTTGACATTTATTTTAAGAATGTTATCATGGGGCCCGGGTATTCAAACACTAAGCTAGTGGCCAGTTCCAATCTCTTGAGACCAGCGGAGGGCAGACATTAATTGTGTACTTTCAATTTGTTCCAATGTCAGCCTCACCCATCCTTTTTTATAGGTCTACAATAGGCCTATTTAGCCTTGGTTTTTCAACATCAACGATTATGGTAGGCCTTGTTTTGTGAAAATGAGGAAATGCAATAGCATGGGGTAAAGTGGGAGAAATTTTCAGAGCACAAAAAATCCACTCATAAGTAGTTAAAATCAATGGCAGCGCTGGCAGAAATTTTCCGGCGGGGAGTCTGATAACCCCCAAAAAGGGCCCACATTTACCTCAGCCACACCATGGGAGGTTTAAGACTGTTAAGATACGTTTTCAAAGCAATGTTCTCAACAGAATAACATGCCCCCGAGTCTGCACCCCAGATCCGTCGCTGGCACCACCAATGGTTAGACATCGCATCATCAGTTCCACCCCACTTAATCCTTTATCCCCAGAAACCCCCTCCCCATGTGAATACTCTACACCACTAGATACAGTGAGTTACACTCAGAAAAAAAAGCCATACTCTTGTTAATAATCCAGAATAAGTGGTCGTGTTTCTATTAACAAAAACTTTTTTCTGTTATAAAATCCAACCGGAAAATTATTTCTTTTTGAGCATGTGCATGCGGCCCGGATCAAATTTTTTGGCGGGCGGAAGTTGGCCCGTGATCCTGGAGTTGAATGCCAGTGTCCTAGGAGTTTTCTTTATGTTTACCTTTTATCAAATGTAGTAATGTGTTTTATAAATGAATAAAGGTTATTTTAAATGATTGACACTTTTTACAGCTAGATACACACCTTGTCCAACTTCACCTCTGGGTCATCGTAGAGCACCGTCCGTGGAATGGGCACCTACGCCGCCTACACGCTACGATCTTTACAACAGTTCCGATTTACCAACGAACCCGGATTCAAGTCTTCATTTCAAGGATTCTATATACCTCGACGTTGCGTCCATCAGTAGCTCGTCCGGAGCCTCCAGCTCATTCCTTTCGTAACTACAATTGTATCAAGGCCTAAACAATAAGAACTTTAATACTAGTTTATTTTCTTTGCTTAAAGTTGCTTTCTAATGATTTGACGTCACAGTCATGCTTACGCGTGCGTAAAATATGTAAATACAGTTACGTACTACGTCACAGCCAACACAAGGTAGCCTAATTTCAACAGGCACAATATCGGGATGGTAATTGATGCCAACTCATGAAAGAACTTACTTTAAGAGTAAATATTCAACAGACAATATTGCTACTTTAAAAATAATATATTTTGTGTGATAGTATAAGATAATCTTTTTTATGTAATATTTTGATAATTTTGAGACATTTTGTATGTTCTTTATGGTTAAGAGTTTTAAAATTATTTAATAAGACTGTTTATATTTTAAGTTAAAATGGACGCAGTATGTGGTCACATGATCGACTTCATTCAAAGGGTATGACATCAAGGATTCACACGTATTAGTTGAATAAAAGAGCCATTAACCATCAACGAACACTCAATCGTAACTCATTTGTAACACTATATCACTCGAGGGAAATAATATATCAAACAAGTTAGCCTGTGTCACTAAGCCAGCTCTCAAAAATAGATGTATAATAGCCTTGAAACATAAAGAATCCATATTTTACATCACCACAACTGTGGTATTTTTGAAAATGAGTGACTTTCGAAGCCATTGCTTGCTATTATATTGAAAATTATTTATTTATGTTAACATGTTGGGAAAAACGTTGAGAGCTGCAAGTTGTTCCAAATCAAAACCGACTTTTGCGTTTGAAATTGAATAAACGCATACATTTGTTATATGGTTTTTATGATACTATGTTATCGGTATTCATTTATCAATCACTAAATGTGTTCATTCTAATCAACTATAGAAATGACTACTATAATCCTACTTTGTAAATTATTCTCATTGGTGGCACACTTACATTGCAATATTATCCTAGAATGAGTTGAACATTTATTGCCTCTCAAATGTAAAAAACTATTAAAAAAGATGTGTAAATCTTTCTTGCCTCAGTATCAATCGAACTTAAAAATTAGAGCAGATAGAGGAATACCCGCAAGTCTCATAAACACTCATTATGATTACTGTACTCGTGCGAATAAGCGCCCCGTTTGAATAAGCGCCCCCTTCTAATTTGAATAAGTAATATCATAATATTTTCTTTATAGCAAGTCAATAATCCAATCAATCCTGGACTGTGGTTGTTGGCATGATTTGAGCTGCAGAGTGGAAACACATTTTTTTTAGGTCAATATCAAAATGAGGATATTTCTCTTGGACAGATGAGAACTCCGATCCCTGGACAGACAGTATATTTCCAACTTTACACTTTTTACATACTTGTCTATACCTAGTCCTACTCCTCTTTTTCTTTTTCCGACCTTTAACACATTCTCATCTGAGTTTTCAAGAGAAAATACAATTATCCTGCAATCCTGCTAATCTCAATCGGCCGATGTCCAGCAAGCTAACCACTATCCACCACCACTAATTGCATCTGCTATTTTGCTGTTATGTAAATATTCACGCATTCTTGTCATGAGCCATGTTCCCTTGAGGATTATCTTTTCCGCTTAACCACCATTCGTTCTGTCTTTTTCATTCAAAAAATGCCTCTTGAATTAATTAATTTCCCATAAGAACCCCACGATTTTCATCTATTTCCATAAGCGCCCCCTCAATTTCCACTCTGTTTTCATAAGCGCCCCGTTTGAATAAGCGCCCCTCAGAAAGTGAAAAAAATATATTAAGCGCCCGGGCGCTTATTCGCGCGAGTACGGTATGTACATTAACG